ATGAGATCCCACCATTTTTTGGATCTCAACTAAATCTCCATAAGCATTGCCCAATGCTCATAATCGCCATCAAACTTTGGAATGTTATACTATTTATTATATATTTTTATTTTTTTTCACTCACATATCAGACTTTAAAATAAACTCTGATATCATTAATAGCAATTAATAGAAATGGCACACGAGATTTTTGAAAATACTTCTCTAATTGCATAAAAAAATTGAAACATTACAAGTCTTTAAATAGACCTTTTACTTCTAAAAACTATTTGATCAAATCAAACAAAAAAAACTAGTTCTTGATTCCTACAAACTAGGTTACCGCCCGCGTCATACGCGGACAAATAACATTCACAGATTTTTTGTATTTGTTATTTAAGTTTTTAATAGCCAAATTCTCATAATTAAATATTTGATTACAATATAAAGACAAATAATTAATGAAACGCTAAATTACAATAAAATGTAAACTCAAAAATGACAAAAGCAATAACAATAAATCAAAAGCAAAAATCCAATAGACTAATTATGGTATATAGAACGAACCTTGTTCGATATTTTAGAAGATTTACAAAGAATTTACAAACCAAAAGACAAATATGAAATAATCTACGAAGAAGACACAAGACTATAGAGGAATAAGAAGATACACACAGTAATTACCAGAATGGTGTATTAGCATAAACATTGAAATCTCAATTCTTGGCTTAAAGAGCTTATAGCTTTTAACCACCACTTTAGCCAGATTCATATGAGGCTGGTTATCTCTTGTATCCAGGTCCAGATCATCTAAAATTTTTACCCTTAGTGAATCTTTGATCTTATCCTGCAAATGTCCCATTCTCTCAAAGTTTCCACCTCAACGTAAGAGAGCGAATTAACTCTTGGAGAAAAACGAAGAACTCTTTTACCAACGATGTGAGATTAACTCTCCTTGTTCAAAGGACCTTGCCACTGTGAAATCGAACAACGTCATAAAAATTCAGCTGAAGTGAGGTGAACTTTCATTACCACAAATAATTGACTCATTGAGAGACCAAACTTAATTGCAATTATGCTCTTCTCCATTACTTGAAATCAAAATAAACGATCACAAAATATATGAAATCAAGGATCTAAATCATCTTCGAAAAGAAATTCTGAATTGGAGGTGCATCAAGTCATCAACATTCCAACAGAAAAACCTCAAGGTTTGCAACATAAGAAACGAAGACCGATTATGATTATGATTATGATTCTGATGGAGATGATATGGGAGTTTGAGATTAAGAAAATTCAGACATTATTTATAGAGTTCTGAAAAGCTTTGAAAAATTACTTTACACTTCGACAATATTGGATAATCTTCTCCCACTTTGTCTCTAATCACCAATAAAAAATCAGTAACCTTCAAGTCAACCCCTGCTCTCCGTATTCTTTTCCTTCTCTCTCTTGTTCTCTTACTTTACCTTCCAGATTTTTCTCAATCTCTCACTTCTCTTTCTTTATATCGATCACAAATTTCTCCATAAATCCAATTATGATCTAATCTCAAAGATAAACAAAAGCTATTACACCTCTTTCACTTTTTTTCGAGATTGCATTATTCACTGTGTCAGCCGTAGAAACTCCATATTCACTATGTTTCCTTTGTCATCAACCGCAAACCCCTTAACCCTTGGGATGGTTTAGCCTCACATCACATATTCTCTCATCCACGTGTTCTGTATATCCTTCAGGGGAGCCAATAGACAGAGTCTCGGCCTGCTATCTATAAATAAATTCCATCAATTTCATATGCAGGATCTTGTACAGTAGTCCATGTGCATTCAGTTTTAAGATTAAGACAAACAACAGTGGTGACTTAATCACATAAACTCTTAAACTTCAATATCTTCAAAATAGTGAATTTGAAGTCATTATGATCTTGGGAAAAACATCAGTATAATAACATGTAGATCGTATAATTGGAAAAAACAGCATAATCAGATACTTACATAGCGTTAGAGTGCATGAAACCTTGTAGATGTTATCGTTCTCAGAATCAATAATAAGCAACTCGCGATCGCCGGTATGCAAAACCTCACACGGCTCGATACATATGCTAGGGGGTGCCTTCGATCCCGTTGCAGCTGCTGATTTTCAATGGCGAGAAATATGTTTGCAAAACTCTATATAGAAACTTTGTATATATCGAATTCCTTTAGTTGTGAAGTCAAATGCAGTGCAGCTTAAAACTGTCATGGATCATCAATCCAATTGATTATACTGCTATCTAAAAAGAAAAAGAAAAAGAAAAAAACAATGTGCTAAAATTTCAACCTCATCCAAAGACAAAAGCAGAGCTGTATGACTGAGTAAGAACCAAAATTTCAAGAAAAAGAAATCTGATGTAAGAAAAAAGAAAGAAAAATCAGATGTAAGAATAGATAACATGAGACTTATTTTGTTAAACTCTCAAATCTCACCTATTCAATCGACACACTCTGCATCAACTAATTTATTATTTACTCAACCAATCCCAAAACAATCCATATCATGTCTGGAAAAAAAGAAGAAAAGAACAGAAAAATTTCTGTGAATTCGTAACTGAGTAACAAGGACCCCAAGACTCCCTGGCCAAATCAAAAGAGAGCAAAGATGTTCAAAGAAAATTGATACCGGAATTCAAGATGAAGAGAAACTTATATTTGTAGAACAACAATCTTAGCAAGTGAAGGAGAGATCACCATTAAATGCAGTGTTAGTTGTCTGTTGATACACTTCCATCCCTTAAACCAGTAGTAATATGAATCAATACCATATGAAAATTGTATCTCACTTGGATGCGATGAAATCTCTATATGTATCTCACTAATCCTCTACAAAAAAAATTTAACATCATTATCTGATCCCAAACCTTTGAAAATTATGAAGCCAAAAATCTTTTGATTTTCTCATCTTCTTCTGCATATCAGAAGGTTCTAATTTTGATCGACAGACATTGAACGTCATATAGTCATTGTTTCTAGAAAGAACATATGAGGTTGAAGAAATCCTAGGAATAGGCGATTATGGTTCTAAGCCTGTGGCCAAAGAAATTTAGGGTTTCCTAATAAACGATGATTAAAAAGATTTAACCTCACAATTGTTTTCTTTGTGAAGGGATTTAATCCCTTCAAAATCAGATTTAACTCACAATTTAAAGAGATAAGGGTATTATTAATTTTTTTTAAAATTAAGTTTAGCCAAAAATAATAACACAATCTAATATTTATTAATAGAATTAGATTAAAATTAGCCTAAGAAAATAATTAAGTTTTTTATTAAGAATATAGATAAATAAATAATTAATAGATTTCATTAAGTATAACTAAAGTAAATTCATATGAGGGGCAAAGTGTAATCAACCATTATAACTCTCAACCACAGCTCAACTTGCTTGCCAATTAATAATATGATTAGAAACAAGACTTATTATTCAAGGCCAGGTCATAATGTGATTAAACATAAAATAAAATCATATTCACTTAGGCCTGTCCATTTTAAGATCGATTTCCCACCTTAAATTATATACTATATCTGAATTTTCTATCTCATTTTAAATTATATATAAATAATTATTCGTTTATTCAAATGGATTATTTATTGATATCTGTTTTGAAATTGATATCCAAATCTCTTGTTTAAAAATAAAAATAAAAATTTCCTAAAAGTTTTTAAGTTTTCACAAAATTATCTTAAATATCTAACATATATTATACATGAAGCATTAGTGGTTTATGTGTCATTATCTCAGAATTTTGAATTTTTCAAATCTCAATAATGGTTAAAAACTTAAATAATTTATTCTTGTAACCAAACACAATCTTTCTTGTAATCAAAAGAAAACTTCTCTAATTATTTATTTTTAATTGCATATAATGTTTTAAAAAACTGTAATTAATATTTATGTTTTTTGTATATAATTTAAACAATTTGATTTAAATAAATATGACAGAAAATTTAAGTGAATTTTTGTTTTTTTTGAAGTTTCTAACATATATTAAACGGAAAGCATTAGCTTAGGTGTCATTATCTCCCTTTTTAATATTTTTATTGATTTATTTTTGTGTGTTATCCTTATTACCAAACAATTTATTTTAAATCACTTAAATTAAATCAAATTTAAATCGAACCAATCAAAAATAATTCGATAATTTTATTGGTTTAGTAAATTAAATTAAATACATATTTTATTAATGGAAATAAAAATTATTTTTATGTTTTATGTTTTGCAACAGCTTTAGTTCACATATTATACAAACGGAAAAAAAATATTATTTTTCGAAACCTCGGACGAAAGTAAATGTAAATCTTGCTTTGTATAAGTTTAAATTAAAAACGAAAAAATAACTAAATTTTTTCAAATCTCGACTGAACATTTTTAGATAGCCAAATATTTTTCAAAACTTATTAAATTATAAAATATCTCTTAAATATTTTTACAAGTATTACCTTGCACGAACGTGCGGGTAGTAACCTAGTTTGTTCTGAAATTGACCCTTACCTAAATTAATATAATTTAGAAAAACATTTTAGCTAAATAAAACTTTTTCCGTTATTCGAACTTTTCGTCCTGTATCAGAAGCATTTTGAGTATTGTTTTTTAATACTTGAATTCTCATCCCGTTTCTTAAATTTCCCATTCTAATTCTCAAAATGAACAGATCTCCAAATTCTCATACTTAGGTGGATACTCAGTAGTTACCGATCCGAATCCGGAGAGTTGGCGGATCCATTCCACCTTATTGTCCACAACTACGTTAACACTTCCATTTTGTGAAAGATTCAATCGCAGAAACCAATTGTATAAAATATACATGAATTCTCTGTTTTTCATATACATACTATTTTCTGTGGTAACAATTGAAACATATATTTCCTGTACAATGAACAACTCGCCATGGAAACAATTTTACACCCAAAGAGAGGGAGAGAAAGAAGATTCTGGTTATGTTTTGTGTGTAGTACTTACTTTGAATTTTGGCGGTTTTATGCTTTTATCCAAGGTAAGACAACATTGGGTCCAAGCTTAGTCCTGAACCTCCCAAGCTACCTGGATCCGCATGCTTTACCCTCCCGAAATAGCGTATGTGACGCAACATTCTTGCAAGGAACGTATTGTGGCAGATCGTGGTGCTATCGCATACCATTGCCAAGAGTTTCCGAGCTCTTGTTTTAGCTACGTTCATCCTTCTGCTATCCCCTAAGAATCCCACTGCTCCTAAGTTGTTCGACCGGACCTATGATGGGTTCACAAACATAGTGAGTTAACCAAGATCTTCGAGGAAATCCGTACTGGTAATTTTTAAAAATACCATAAAGTTTCACTAATTTTGTTTTCCAAAAATATTTTCAAAATACCACAAAACTAAAACTAAACTTTGAATCCTCAACTAAACCATAAACCCTAAAAAAATACTTAATTCAAGCTCAAATTATAAACCCTTAAAAGTCATTTTTTGGATTGTGGTATTTGTGGAACAAAAAACTAGTAATAATTTTTGAACAAAAGTTATTTTAGTGATATTTCTCATTCTGTCATTCGGTTCTAGTTTTCATAGTCAAGTTCAACAAACGTTTAAACTTATAAACTGTTTCATAATCTTGTTCTAGATTAAGTAGATCATGAAATATCTTCTCAATACAAACATTAGACAGACGTAAATTCTCAAAACTTCTGATCAGTTTAGGGATCCACGTGTCAAGAGAAGGTAAGAGGAGGGGAATAGTGTACCATTAAGATGATCACTGCATCGGCCTCACGGCCTTGAAAACTGTCAATGGTTGGCACCTCAACTCCATCAGCCACTGGAAAATCGTCCAGCCTATCTATGAGAAGTTGCACCTGAGCAACATATGGGGATTGAACAGCAATAGCCATTGGACTCACACCTAAAATCATGTCGAACAAGTTGGTTATTAGGAAAGCAATTAATGTGCGTGAAGCTTTGATTCTGAAAACTCTAGTTTGTGTCTAACTTACAACATATTGAATACCATATAGTATTTCATCTGAAAATATATCACTCACCTGCATAAATCAAAGAAATGACGTGATTAACCACAATATCTGCTTCTCCTTCATTGTATAATGAACCTGTGCCAGCCGGATCTAGACGCTCCTTGCATCCCACTGATAAACTCCCGTATGGCATTCTTGTGTCGAGGAGAAGCAATGGGCATTGCGTTATCCAAGTAGGCTGTAACAAGTAAACAAAAAAGATATATCTAAGAGTCATGGGGTTACCATGGTGCTTACCATCTACAATGACGCTATATTTTATTAGACATCCAACATTAAATTAATTAGTGACACTGTTGATTTGTATCCCATCACAAGCAAAACAAGAAGCAAAACAAGAAGCAAAACATCTATTGCAAGCTGAGGAGTAGCACCACCTCAAATGAGGCCAAAGAAAGCTGTAACATTCAAAATTAGAGCCACAAGCAAGATACTAAGATAGTATATGAAACACAAACCAACAGAATTTGCTAAAGATATCAAGTACTGTGTTAATGGAAATTCCCTAAAGAATAAAAGCATAACAAGTAAACAGGTGTGTGATTGCATGCCAAGTTGCCATCACAAAACAACAAAACCAATCAAACAGCAGCAGAAACAGTAAGAAGAAGTACCTTCACAAAAGGAGAATCGATAAGCAGGTGAGAGTGATATGATTCATCGTGTATACGTACAGAGAAGAAGAAGGAGGTCAACGGAGAAGAGGAAAGTCAAGAGGAAATGGCTGAGCTGGCAACTGAGCTGGACAAGATCGAGTGAAGTATGATCCGAGTAACGAAGTATAAATAGCTTGACTCGTTTACATATCGAATTATCAAGAAAATTCAGTTGTAACAGAATTTGCGTATGTGCAATTCTCTGATCATATGTGATCAGTGATCTGATCGTATGTGATCATGATCTTCTTCTGTATTTCTCTTGATTCATCAATACAATTCCATCCTTCTCTCACAAATTCAGATCTAAACTCTATCACTGGTGCGGCGAAACTGAGTCAAAGTTAACGCGACGGAGGAGTGACGTTTCCGGCGAATTTCAGCTGTGATCCGGCGATTCAAGACAACGGAGACGATAATGGCTACTCCAATTCGTTTCAAATCAACAAAATCGGAGAAGCAGCAACAACATCACAACAATATTGAGGGAGAACAACAATTTAGCGATGAAGAAGACATCGCGGAGAGGGAAATGAGCTTGCGCTTCGTCAAAGGCGGCTACAAATGCCTCAATGTCGCACAGAAGGAGAATGTGAAGCGTTTCTCAGAGATTGACGGAAAATTGGGGAATCTCGGCAACAAGATTACGGATCTGGACGGAAAGATGGACTCCATCATTCAACTCTTGCAACAATCCGAGGCACAAAAGGAATAAACAACGGCAAGACCTCGAACAGCTCCGCATTCCAGAAACTCCGATAAGGTACACTCGAATAATCTGGAACAAAACCGGGGAAATAATGAGCTAGGTTATCGATCTGGGAAGTTGAATTTAGCTACGAGAGAAAGTATGTTACAGAAGGTCGAAATGCCAGCTTTCTCGGGGAAGCATCCATACATATGGATACAGAATATCAAAAGATTCTTCAACATTGGTCATTATGATGAAGATGAACGACTTGAGATGGTTGCGTTGAGTCTTGAAGGTCGAGTAAAGAAATGGTTTGCTTGGGAGTTAAAGAGAAAGGGCTTTGACAGCTGGTTAGACTTCAAGAACAAACTGGCATTGCGGTTCTCAGAATCGTTAGAGGAGGATCCAGCAGTTCGCTTGTTCTCTATCAAACAGACCGGATCAATCACAGAGTACATCTCTGAGTTTGAAGAGTTATCAGAACTTGTTGAGGGGATTGATGATGAGCACTTAACCAAGATTTTCTACAATGGACTCAACCAAGAAATGAAAGAGGTCATAAGAATGAAAGAACTAGTGGGATTGGAAAATCATATTGCAGCGGTTTTACAGATGGAATCGAGTGCCTTCTACAAAGTAGTCAGCAATGTAGTGACAGGGGATACAAGGACACTGAAACAGTATCCGTTGAGATCGTCTTCAGTTTACAATTCTCAGCGTAATGGCCTAACACTGAGTTGAAAGGGAATCCCAACAATGGTCTGCAGTCAGGTCAGAATCAGGACAGAAAGGACAGTGTCGGGCAGCAGAAAAACAACGAGGGGCGGTTTAAACAGAAATACACTCCAGAGGAATTGGATCAGATGAGGAAAGATATGATCTGTTTTAAGTGTAAAGCAAAAGGGTGGACACGAGCTCACAAATGTGTTAACAGAGAGCTCCGTATAATCACAGTCCTCAATGGCTTAGAAATGGAAGTCTTGGATGACTGCGAAGACAGTGAGGAGGAAGAGATATTCCTCGAAGCAATGCAAGAATTGAGAACTCTATCATTGAACTCTTTTCTTGGCATCCGGTCACCAAAAACAACCAAACTGTACGTCCAGATTAACAAGACTGATGTGATAGTGATGTTAGATAGTGGTGCATCACACAACTTCATCACTCCTGAGGTGGTGAAGCGGCTTCGGTTGAATGTTTGTGAAGAATCAAGCCTAGACGTCCTCCTAGGCAACGGCGTAACTGTCAAAGGCATTGGCGTATGCAATTCATTGACATTCCAGTTGTCAGACGTCTCGTTCACATCAGACTTTATAGCTTTGGAATTGGGAATGGTTGATGTTATTCTAGGTATACAATGACTTGAGACTTTAGGAAAATGTGAAGTGGATTGGAAGAAACAGGAACTATCCTTTGTTTATCAAGGCAAGAGAGTGGATTTGTTCAGAGATCCATCCATTCATACTTCCAAGTTCTCCATGAAGTCATTATCGCCTATCTCTACCATGGTTGCGAAAGGAAGAGGAGAGCTTTTAGCAATCAATGGGGAGGTAACATCGCCCATTCAGAACATTCCTGATCAGCTAATCTCACTCCCGGAAGAATTCAGTCACGTTTTTGCATTGCCAACAAGTCTTCGTCCTGTCCGAGGACAAGAACATGCAATCAATCTATATCCAGGAGTAACAGCAATATCTGTGCGTCCGTATAGGTACCCACAGGCTACTATGGTGGTAATGGAGAAGATGGTTCTTGAAATGCTCGAGTCAGGCATTATCAGGCCAAGTACTAGTCCATTTTCTAGTCCGGTTCTTCTGGTTAAGAAGAAAGATGATTCCTGGCAGTTCTGTATTGACTACAGAACACTGAATAAAGCAACTGTTCCGGATAAATTCCCAATACCGGTTATCGACCAACTCCTTGATGAATTGTACGGAGCAACAATCTTCTCCAAGCTGGACTTACGTTCAGGTTATCACCAAATTCGAATGGAAGAGCGGGACATTATGAAGACAGCTTTTCGAACAGTAGGGGGTCACTATGAATTCTTAGTGATGCCTTTTGGCCTTACGAATGCACCAGCAACCTTTCAAGCGCTTATGAACAAGATTTTTAAGCCATTTCTGCGAAAGTTTATACTGGTATTCTTTGATGATGTGTTGGTTTACAGTAAAAACGTGAAAGAACATGCCGAACATCTCAGAGTGGTGCTGAATATATTTACAGAGCAGAAATTGTTGGCCAACAAGAAAAAGTGTTCCTTTGGATTACGAAGAGTCGACTATCTGGGCCATATGATTTCAGAGGAAGGAGTAGCTACAGACGCTGCCAAGATAGAAGCTATGAGAGACTGGTCTACACCTAAAATAGTCAAACAACTTTGGGGTTTTTTGGGGCTGACAGGCTATTACCGGAAGTATATCAAGGGATATGGTGCTATTGCGAGACCATTAACCGAGTTAACCAAGAAGGATAATTTTCACTGGTCAGCAGAAGCTCAAGACTCGTTCGATACACTGAAAAAAGCTATGATTTCAGCTCCCGTGTTGGCATTACCAGATTTTGAGAAAACATTTTTGATTGAATCTGATGCTTCAGGTTTCGGCGTGGGTGCAGTGTTAATGCAAGATCATCGACCAATTGTGTTCTTCAGTCACGGGTTGACAGCGAGTGAGCAGTTGAAACCAGCGTACGAGAGGGAACTGATGGCAGTGGTAATGGCAGTTCAGAAGTGGAAACACTACTTAGTGGGGAGAAAGTTTGTCGTTCATACAGATCAGAGGAGTCTCAAATATCTGCTGGAACAGAGAGAAGTGAACATGGAATATCAACGATGGTTAACAAAACTTTTGGGTTTTGATTTTGAGATCTTCTACAAACCGGGTTGTGAGAACAAAGCAGCAGATGGGTTATCAAGGATTGAACGAGATGGGATCAGTGCCGTGAATTCAGTGTTATTGGCTTTGACTGTGCCGTCAGTAATTCAGCTGCAGGATGTGTACAAGGAGATTCTGCAAGATGAAACAATACAGGGATTGATTCGAGAGATGACTGCTGGTAAAGTAATCAACAAACATTACAGTGTTTTGGAGGGCCGTTTATGGTACAAAAAGCGGTTGGTTCTCCCGAAAACTTCAGCTTTCATTCCACTCTTGCTACACAAGTGTCATGATGGTTCAGCGATACGTTGCGGAGTGTGAAGTTTGCCAAACTCACAAATACTCTACATTATCACCAGCGGGGCTTCTACAGCCGTTGCCGATACCTACTCAAATCTGGGAGGATATTTCAATGGATTTTGTGGAAGGACTTCCCACATCACAAGGAACCAACGTCATCATGGTAGTAGTGGATCGTCTGAGCCAATACGGACACTTCATTGGGCTGAAACACCCTTTTACTGCAGTAGACGTAGCTTAGAAATTCATGACTGAAGTCGTAAAGCATCATGGATTCCCCAGAATGATTGTGTCCAACCGAGACCGTATCTTTTTGAGTGGATTTTGGAAGGACTTATTTCGTTTATCAGGAACTAAGCTCAAATACAGTACGGCGTTTCACCCACAGACTGATGGGTAAACAGAAGTGTTGAACAGATGTGTAGAAACGTTTTTGCGCTGTTTTGCTTCGAGCCAACCACACACTTGGTTTCGTTTCCTTGCGTGGGCTGAACTATGGTACAACACTTCGTTTCACTTGTCACTGAAAATGTCTCCTTTCCAGGTGGTTTATGGCTGAGAACCTCCTGCCATTATACGTTTCGAGGAAGGTTCCACAACTAATTTTGACTCGGAGGAAGCGTTACGAGAACGGGATGCCATGCTCGTACAGATTCAAGCTAATTTAGCTAGAGCTCAAGAAATCATGAAGGGCCAAGCTAATAAGCATCGCCGTGATCTCGAGTTTCAAGTGGGAGATCGAGTTTACCTCAAGCTTAAACCCTATAGGCAGAATACGGTGGTGAAGCGTTATTGCCCTAAGCTTGCAGTGAAATTTTTTGATCCGTATGAGGTGTTGGAGAGGATCGGGAAAGTGGCGTACCGTCTCCAATTACCATCATCATCCAAAATACATCCTGTCTTTCACGTTTCACAACTAAAAGCAGCTCTGGGACAGGGACAACAATTGCAGTCATTCCCTCCATCATATACAGATTTGGAGACTATTGCTTGGAGCCTGAAACGGTGTTAGCCTCTCGGAACACTGAAACAGGGGAGGTAGAGATTTTAGTGAAGTGGACAGGTTTGTTGGATCATGAGAATACTTGGATGCCTTCTCGAACATTTGTTCAGCAGTTCCCAACTTCAAGTTTGAGGACAAGCTTGTTTTGAAAGGGGGGAGGTAATGATATGATTCATCGTGTATACGTACGGAGGAAGAAGAAGGAGGTCAACGGAGAAGAGGGAAGTCAAGAGGAAATGGCTGAGCTGGACAAGATCGAGTGAAGTATGATCCGAATAACAAAGCATAAATAGCTTGACTTGTTTACATATCGAATTATCGAGAAAATTCAGTTGTAACAGAATTTGCGTATGTGCAATTCTCTGATCATATGTGATCAGTGATCCGATCGTATGTGATCATGATCTTCTTTTGTATTTCTCTTGATTCATCAATACAATTCCATCCTTCTCTCTCAAATTCAGATATAAACTCTATCAGAGAGGCAACACTTAGAGCAGATTTTAACCAACCACCATACATCTCCTTTGATGCCCAGCCTGTGATTAAATCATTCATACAATACTGAGTCGTTAACTTTGTGGAAAGAAGTCCAACATGTAAAGATGCAGCTATTTCCAGCAAAGACACACCGAGCCCACCTTCTAAAGCTTTACGTGATAGAATAACTGGTGCTAATTGGCATGGATCGCCGGCAAGAATACAACGTTTCCCTTGCAATATTGGGATCCAACGTGAAGACTCGATACACTGACCAGCTTCATCTACAACGACCAAATCAAATGTTTCTAGCCTCTTAATCAAAGGATCAGCTGCTCCAATGTTAGTGGCGAAAACAACCTGTGCATTTGATAGTATTTCCTTTACAGTTTCTTTCTCCTTCTTCTTCAACGTCTTTCCGAGCTGTTTCAAGAGCTGCCGAATGCCAGCTGCAAGAGAATCATCTTTCAGGCAACACTGAAGATCTTTTCTTAAATCCGACTTCTTCCTTTCAAGTTCTGCTCGAAAGCTTGCAAGCTTAGAGTTTACAATCTCCCCCAAAGATTTTGAAGCAACAGCGGATGATATTCTTGCGGGATTTCCTACTGGGACGATGTTTAGTCCAAGATGGGAGAGCTTCTCCACCATATTATCAACAGCTGCATTAATAGGTGCTGTTACAAGTACTCTTTCTCCCTGCTGAACAGCGAGAGTAATGACCTCCTTAAGCATTCCAGTCTTTCCCGTGCCAGGAGGTCCTTGAACTATCATCACATGTCTCTTTTTGTTTACTCCCAGAGCTATGGCTCTCCTTTGAGAATCATCATATAACTTACCCACTGGCTCATCACTCAACTCTGCTTCACTCCAGTCTACATAATCATTCTGCTCTAGCCATGTGATATCTTCCCCATCCCCAAATAAAGTCGCCACTACAGAAATTGATGGATTTTTCTTCTGGAGACCATTCTCCTAGAGAAGCATTAGGGCTTCACAGTTACGATGCAACAGAAGGCTATAATAAGAGTTTGGAAGAAAAAACAATAGTAAAATTTTAGAAAACACTTGCAATAACAGGCCATGATAAGCATATTATAATGTCGTTGAGATGAAAGCTATTGGTATTAAACTCTGCATCTTTAGTCAATTTGGAACAAATCTATATACACCTCATAAGTCAGGGCATCGGCCAAGCCATGAATACGATCGATTCTCACACTCTTACCAAAGAGCTTGGAGAAAGCATGATCTCCATGACGAGATTCTAAAGCCACACCAATGCTGCACCCATCATCTCCAAGGTTGTGAACAAACCCCTGCGTACAGGAAGTTGCTCCAGCACCCCTACTGTAACAAATTCTTATGCAAACCATGTCACCAGGGGAAAGCGTAGCAGGAGGAAGACGGTGATTATCCCCAACCTTAAACAACACCAAGTGCATACCTCCGAATCCTATATATTATACAACAAAATCCATTTAAAACTGAAATGTATTACCCAAACTACATTTGAGTTAGTGAGTCTAACCTGGGGAGGTACTAACTTCATACAAATTGCAAATTGTATCACAAAGTTCCTGTGGATCTTCACCGTGCATAACCAAGAACTCGATTGGTTTTGAGGAATCAGAGCTCTCATCTGGAGTAGGGATAACATTGAGTTCTTCCTGCGTAACTTCCAGTTCTGTATCTCGTTCCACTTGAAGTAACTGCGAAATGCTGCTGGTGAACTCATTAATCCTTGCTTGTATAGCCTTCACCTTCTCTGAGTCTATCCCAAAAACTCCCTGAACAGGGTTTGGTTGATTAGCTTTGCGAGCCACCTCCCTATGCTGAGTTGCACAACGCGACACAAGCCAAAATTTTCCGTTTCAGCTAACTATAAACCAATAAGAACTAAAACAAACAACATGCATGGACTTGAGGAATATAAACCTGAATTTGCTATCTCCTTGAGAAGCTTCCAAGACTCTGTCTCCTTCCAAATCTCCATGATGTTCTTGCGCTCCAGGTCTTGAAGAACATCACGCAACTCTCTCTGGAAATGATCGAACAAGGTAGGATAATGTGTGCAAGCTTTCAAACAGATGACTTTAAGCCCTAGTGGCATTGGAATGGCGTTGGGATAAGGCTGAGCCTGAATCACAAACGTCAAACCAGAACCGACGTTCTGCCTTAGCTCTGAGAACTCACCCTGAACCTCCGCAGTGGCAAAATCCGAGGCCATCGCCGTCATTCCTTGGCTAATCCACTTCACTACGTTCCTCCCTAGGTCTCTCCGCCCCAAGGGATTACCATTTTGATTCAAATCACAAAGACTTAATTCTTTATCGTTCTTCTTCTTCTCCTCCGGTTCCTACGGTTTCTCGTTTTGCTCCTCAACCTCATCGACAACAGCTTCACTACTAACACTCACAGGTTCAGTATCATTCCTCTTCTCGATTTTCCTAGATTTGAGTTTATCGAAAACATTACTTTTCTTTCAAGGCTTCTTCTTAGTAGCACTGGAACCGCCATTAACGCCGCTCCAAAAGACCTTACGCGTCGGGAAAACATGAACGCCGCCATCTCTCTTGTCGAAGACGAGACAAACGTAATTCACCGGCGGTCTAGTGAACGTGAGCGCCGTCGATGGAATCCGAATGCTTCTGCACAGAAAACTTGAAGCTGCGTCCATCAGATTTCCCCACGATTCAATACAAAAACGTTCAGATTTTCTCTCCCTTTCCCGAGAAAACGCAAGAAGATGCTATTAACTAATAATCAAACTCTCTCGATATTTTCAGAGAATCGAATCGAACTGAAAATACAGAAAAATGATATCTTCGTGGAGTTACTTATATATTGGAAAAAGGATTCAGATATTTGGGACGACGAATCTCTCTAAAACTGATTATGCTTTTAAATCTAAGCCGCGAGATGAAACTTGAGGCTCTCAGAAATAATTTTTATTTTATTTCATTTTTCTCAGTTTGAAATGTGATATTCTTTTGGTAAACAAAATTTGTTTTTACTCAAACTCAAGTAGAGACCGTAGGCATATCAAACGGGTTGGCCCGGTCTGGCCCGGCCCGAAACCCATAAAACCCGCATATATTTTAGCTCGGTCTGGTCCGACCTGATAATATATCGAGCCTATATTTTGAAGCACGGCCCGGCCTTAACAGGGTTATCGAGTTTTTTTCGGGTTTTTTCGGACTTTTTAAATAAATAAAATAAATTTCAAAAATAATCATAAATATAGTTTTATCAAATGTGAAAGCAAAACATTAATTTATAAATTCATATAAATTCTAACATTACATATAATTAAATCAATATGTAATGTAAATAATGGAAACGGCGGAATCGAGATGAGAATCTTCAGGATGAAGGTAGGAGTGCTTCTTGAAACTAGTTTAGTTTGAGCATTGATGTTATATGAAGGCACACAACTAAAAATTAAGGTTTTATATTAATAAAAAGTATTATAAAAAATTAACAACTCTAATTTTTTAAAATTGTGAAGATAATTTATTAATAAAAATTTCTAAATAAAATTATAGTATAAAGTACAAGGCTTTTCGGGTAAGCCCGAAACTTGCCCAAAAAGCCCAATTTGTTTTGGGCTTTTATATCAAAGCCCAAACTCCGGTATTTTTCAGGGCCGAGCCGGGTCAGGCGTCGAGTTTTGGCCCAAATTGACATCCCTAGCATAGAGTCGTGATGAGAGATCGTAGTCGAGAGCTGTGTTTGGTTAGAATTGATTCTTTTTGGGCAGGTGGCGTGTTTAATTACTGTTCTATCCTTGGTTTTCTGTTTGTTCACTAGTACCCCTTTCTTTTCAGATTCTTCTTTAAAGATCCCGTAAGTTTATTTTTTTTATTTTGACCCTATTTTGCTTTAATACCCATTTTCAGATTCTTATTTGGAAACCCCGTAAATTTAGTTTTAGATATTAATCTCATTATGTTAGGCATCACCCAAACTAAACCCTAACTGTAGTTCGGATCGTAACTGTACTATTTTTAAACTGTAACTAAACGATTAAAAACCAAGTAATAGTCACTCATAAATATATTAGTTATGGTCAAAATAATTATTAACTGTAAGATAATCTTCAATGTGTTCCTTTATCTCTAAAATAGAGAAATTTTAAAATATAGGTGGATTCTTCTCTAATGTATTCCTCTTAAAAAGTAATATTTTAAAAATATTCTTTTTATAATTCATTAAAACACTTTTTATTTATATAATTAATAAATGGGTCAATTGGGTGAGTGAACATATCTGGCCCATTAATAAACGATATATCCATATCAAAATCTAAATTAAATACGTAACCATAGGAAAAATTTGTGGACGGATTTGCCCCTATTTTAGATACGGCATCTCTTAAGAGTAGCATACTACGTGGTAACAGGAGATATACGGGACCTTCAAATCGTAAGATTTTCCTATAGGAGTCATGTCGATAACATAACACTTACGGCATAAATAATTTAAACATCACACCCGTAAAAAAATCTATTTGTGGCTATAATTACAATCAAACTATGTTATAAGTACCTCCATCTTATCTACTAGAACCGAAAACTGTAACTTCCATAAAGAAACATGAATGATGCAGAAGAAAGCTTAGCAGTAAATACAGAAGACAGTGAAATCCAGGTAAAGAATCATTAATTACACATAGTCTGTGACCCTTATATTAATTTCTTAGTATGGTACATACATCGACTATATGTATTTACTACTTCATTCACGGTATAGAACTATAGATCGATCACTGTTAAATCGCTGTTTATACTATTTCAATATCCTGTTGAGTCACACACACACAAAATGTAATTCATGGGTACGATAATGATAGGATACTGTTCTCCTTGTGGTCGGTGCTTGGTTCCGAGAGCCATCAGGAAAATGGGTGTTCGAGCCAGAAACAACAGAAGGCTCAAATTTCCTGCAATTACACTCACCGTTGTCCCATAGTGAGTTGTTGAGGGCCGTGAAGCAGAAGCTCAATTACCGGGAGGGAAACATCTGTGTGAAGTTATCGTATCAATATCCGGAGTGGCTGGAGATTGATGATGGAGACGGATCTACACCTCAGCATATAACAGATGATGAGGAAGTTGAAATCTTTATACAAATGCGAAGGACAATAGACGAAGTGAATCTCTTTGTATCCCCAACCACTTTTGTTGGAGGCGTTCAAACAAGTTTAATTGCGCCGCCTCACACAGCTGATGAGGAGATACAAACCGTTCCTGGCGATAATGTGGAGACCCTTGACACCGGAGGCGAGACGGACAGTGGCTGGAATGACTTCGCCATGTCAGAGACACCACTGACAGTGCCCACAGGAGCTGTCGCGACAGCGAAAAATCCCAGTACTCGTTCAACTTATTCTACTCCACTCCGCGGAAATGGTATAACAATTAGAGAAGGAGCAGGACAAATAACTCTCGCGAGGCATACGGCGGCGAGAAAGTGTAAAGGAAAAGGTATCGCTGGGCCGGTCAGTAGTTCATCTGATAGTGAAAACAACGATGGGGGAGGAGTCTCAGAAGCTCTTGCTGCTGTCCGCCGGAGGTTATTCAACGATCCTGAGGATGGAGGCGAAACCAATTTGGATTCGGGAGCCGAAGGAGATTGCGAAATGGAATGTGATACTCCAATGGAAGATCTACCGAGCAACAGTAAGTGGGGTAAATTTGAGGCAGCTCTGCACAATATACTCACAGATTTCTCTGCCGATCCGGCATTATTTGAGCGGGATGCACCCCCGGTGTTCGAAACAGGTGAATACGATGGTACGTATACTATACTACATATGACGCAAAGTAGCATATTACAGTACGACACAGCAGAATGATCATTTGATACTATTTGTTTAAATCACACAAACCATACAATTAATTACTCACCTTACCTTATATATGCTGTGAACCATGCAGGGGTGGAGGCGGCTTTGGCCGATGTATAGTATGAGAGAGACAAGTTATTTGTCGGCCGAGTGTACAAGTCAAAGTTTGACTGCAAAATAAAAATTGCTATTCATGCAATAAACCGAAAATTCCATTTCCGTACACCAAGATCCACCCCAAAATTCATGGTGATGAAGTGTGTTGATCGAAGCTGCAACTGGAGGGTTTATGCAGTACTACTTGACACTTCTGGAGCCTTCCAAATCCGTCAATCTACGTTGGAACATACTTGCACTGTGGACACCAGAAGACATTACCACCGACTCGCCACTACTCAGGTCATTGGTGAGATAATGCAGTCTAAGTTTGTGGGTGTTAAGAGGGGTCCTCCCCCAGCTGGGATACGCAAAATAATGTTGGACGAGTTTCACGTCAACATTTCTTATTGGAAGGGGTGGCATGCAAGGGAATTGACAATGGAGAAGGTGTATGGTTCTACAGCAGATAGCTACACCCTGCTTTCCGCATATCTTTCTCTCCTCCAAAATGCAAACCCTAGAACTTTATGTTATCTTGAACATGTAGAAAATCCACAAGGAGGGTCAATGTTTAAGTACTGTTTTATTGCATTTGGTGCTTCAATACAAGGTTTTCCGTTCATGTGCCGAGTCATTGTGATTGATGGGACAACTATGAAGGGAAAGTTTGGAGGATGCCTAGTCTCTGCATCTTTACAAGACGCAAACTTTCAGATATTCCCCTTGGCTTATGGGGTTGTGGATAGCGAGAATGATGACGCATGGGAGTGGTTCCTCCGCAGACTCGCCGAAATAGTTCCAAACTCTGCAGATCTTGTGTTCGTTTCAGACAGACATCGAAGCATCTACGCTGGATTGCTTCGAGTAAGTGACGAGTATGCGACCATGCGTATAAAGTTTTCCTAAGTAATATATTACTAGACTATATCCAGTAAAACGAATAGTACGCTGATTATATCATACAATGCAGGTCTATCCACAAGCACACCACGATGCATGCACTGTGCATCTGTGTCGCAATGTGAGAGCTTCATACAATCTTAAACGGGTGGCCGAAATGATGAGTGCAGCAGCAAGGGCGTATACCGTGGCCGATTTCAATAAAAAATTTCTAGATATTCAGAAGCTTAGCCCCGCGTGTGCCGCATATCTTGTTGATATAGGTAAACCGGTAGCCATTGCACGTTGATCTGACGGAACATTGGTACCATTGATATATGTACTTAACTCAGTTATTCTATATGGTACAAATGGTATAGGATTCGCACATTGGAGTCGGGTACACTTCTAGGGCAGAAGGTACAACATCATGGACTCAAATATTGCAGAATCTTGGAACGCTGTCCTTAAGGAGGCTCGGGAGTTCCCTTTAATATGCATGCTTGAGTACATTCGGACAGCGGTCATGACGTGGTTCGCACTAAGGAGAGCAAAAGCAATGAACCACAAAGGAACACTTCCCCCCCATGTACGGGGCTTAGTAGAGGAGAATTACAACAACTCTACCAACCTTGCCGTGAGGGCCATAACTCCATATGAATTTCAAGTTCAAGAACAAGATGGTGGATATTTCACAGTGAAGCTGCTGGAGAATAAATGCTCTTGTGAGCAGTACCAGACACTTGGCATTCCATGCATCCACGCCCTCGCTGCGGCAACTAGTGTGGACATGCCTACTGATTTGCTGGTGGAACCAGTATACTCTGTGCAGAGTTGGAGGAGCGGGTATGAAGGAAAAATTTACCCAGTACCTTCCGTTGGGTCAACAGAAGGGGGTCCAGCTTGTCGAGGTGATCTCCAGC